CTTTGGGGGGGAGTTCAGGGGCAAATGGGGGGTTTGGGGTGGAAAACTAGGGAATGGGGGGCAGAAAAGGCATTTATGGGGGAAATGGGAGCACTTAGGGTGGGAAGGGGGAGCTTTGAGGTCAGTTCGGGGAGAAATGGGGAGACTTTGGGGGGAGTTCAGGGGCAAACAGAGGCTTTGGGGTGAAAACCGGGGGAAATAGGGGCACTTTGGGGTGGAAATTTGGGAGCCTTTGGGGGCAACAGGCAGAAACGGGGGCATTTATAGGGGAAATGGGGGGGCTTTGGGGTCAGTTCAGGGAGAAACGGGGGCCTTTGGGGGAGCGTGGGAAGGAAATGGGGGCACTTATAGGGGAAATAGGGGGCCTTTGGGGGTGGAAAAGGGGGAAATGGGAGAAACAGGGGCCTTGGGGGGAAATGGGGACTTTTTGGGGAAACAGGGGGCACTTTGGAGCAGTTCAGGGGCAAATGGAGGCATTTTGGGGGGAAACGGGAGCCTTTGGGGTCACTTGTGTCAAACGGGGGCGCTTTGGGGGAAATAGGACATTTATGGGGGAAATAGAGGAAGACGGGGGAGTTTGGGGGGGAATGGGCAGAAACTGGGACCTTGGTGGGGAAAGAGGGGGATTTATGGGGAAATGGGGGCAGTTGGGGGGAAATGGGGAAAAAGGGGCTTTGGGGGACAGTTTGGGGGGGGTTGGGGGGGTAAACGGGGGGATTTATGGGGGAAAAAAGGTAGAAATGGGGACCCTGGGGAGCACTTGGGGGGGTTTGGGTGGCGATGGAGGCGCTTTGGGGTGAAACACGGGGGAAACGGGCAATTCTGGGGAAAAGGGGGGGTCCTTTATGGGGGGCACCTGCACAAGCAGCGCGATCTCCTCGAAGACGTCCTCCTGCGAGGCGCCGGGCGGGAAGACGCGGTCGAAGCTGAAGTCGTAGCGCACCCTCGCCCCGCCGCCCCGTATGGGACTGGGGGGGAGAAATTAGGGGTCGGGGGGGACGTGTCAGGATTTGGGGGGGTCACCACGAGCCTATTCCCAGCCTGATGTGCAATACGGGGAGATATCGGGCTTATAGGGCCTCCTGCCCCCGTTATAGGGCCGCCCGCTTGTAGGGCCGTGGAGGATTTGGGAGCGGGAAGCAGCAGGGGTGTGCCCCCCCCAGCCCTGATTTGGGGTCGGGGCACCCCAAATTGGCGCTCACCCCCTCGGTCCTTGCAGAGCACCAGCGTCTTGTTGTCTCGGGGGGGAAGTGGAGTGCTCCAGCCCCTTCTGCGCCTCCTGCTCGGCCGCCAGCAGCGGGCGCACGCGGCAGAAGACACGGATGTTCCCCTGGGGAGGGGGAAAAAAAAAGGGAAAAAAGGTATTTTGTAGAATATCGAGGACTTGAAGAGGACTGGCCCTAAACGGAGCCTTGGGGGATCCCAATGGTGACCTGACGTGGCCCCAATTGCCACAGCCCTGAGCCCTGCCCGACTGCCACTTGTCAGACAGATTATTTTTCTGTATTTTTCTGTATTTAAGTATGGATATATAAGAAAAACTTCAGAGTTAAATATTTATATATTCTTATAACTCTTACAATTCTGAACAAAAAAACAGAAACGAACCATGACCATTCTGTTGTTTATAGATTGGGGCAAAACCTAAAGAAACTATGTATTTTTTTTAATTTTGAGCAAGAAAACTAAGCATTTTATATATATTTTTTTTAATTTGAGGGAAAATCAAGTGTTTTTTTTTTTTTAACTGAGCAAAAAAAATGATTTGTTTTTGTATTTTTAAAATTTGGGGCAAAACATATGTATTTGTTAAACTCTGAGCAAAAAAGCCTCAAAAAATGAAATGAGTTATTCTATTTTAAATTTTGAGAAATAAAAGAAGTGTTCTTTTGACTTTTTAAAATTTCAGTAAAAATCAAAAAAAGAAGATGATTTTTTATTTGAGCAAACTAAAAAAGGTTTTGTTTTTCAATTTGAGAAAAAAGAATAAATGATACTTTTTAACTTTGAGGAAAAAACAGGAATGTTATTTTAAGAAAAGTTTGAGCAAAAAAAAAAAAACATTTTTTTTTAATTTTGACAAAAACAAAACATGAAATACTAATGTTATTATTATTACTATTATTTATTATTTTTATTATTTTTTACATCTTGGGGTGAAAAATCCCCCGAAGTGAATCCTGGTTTTTTTAAATATTATTGATATTTTCAGTGTCAGCCCCCCTGGTGCACCTTGAGCTCCTGCAGCTGGTTGTGCAGGCGGCGTCGCTCCATCTCCAGCGCGTGCAAATGCTCCTCCTGCGCCCCCGCCAGCGCCCGCAGCTCCGCCTGGGGGGGAAAGGCCCGACCCCGTTGGCCAAGAGGCGCCCAACGCCGTCGGCCAAGACGGGGGCGCCCAGAATTGGATGTAAAAATTCAAAACTTTAGGGAAAAAAACGCACAGAACTTGGGTACCCCGTCCGCGAAGAGCTTGTAGAAAAAGCACCAAGAATTTGGGGAAATAACCTATAAAATCTTCGGGAAGAGCCCCCCAAAAAACATGGGGAAAAACCATCCAGAATACAGGGGGAGGGGAAACCCACCAAGATTTGGTTGGGAAACACACAGAATTGGTGGAAACTCCCCCAAAGTTTGCGGGGAAAAGCCAAGCAGAATTCGGGGAAGAGCCCCCAAAATCTGGAGGAAATGCCCCAATATCAGGAAGGGTTGGGGGGGAAGACCCCAATAATCAGGGGAGCCTAAGATAATAATTTAGGGGGGTACGGGGAATAATTTGGGAGAAGACAACAACTGGGGAAAAATCCGGCCAAAACACCCGAAATCGGGTAAAAAGCCCCCCGAAGCATCTCCAGCTGCGCTCCTCGCAGCCCATTTTGGGGCAGAATCCCGCGTTTTGCTGGTTTTGCCCCGTGGGGGGGGGGGGGAAATCAGCCTCGTACCCACCTGGGCGGCCCCCAGCTGCTCCTCCCGGTCCCGCGCCGCCTCCCGGAGCTCCTCCAGCTGCCGGTGCCGCTCCTGGAGCTCAGCCGCCAGCGCTGCCGCTCGGCCGCCTGCGCCTCCGCCTCCCGCTGCCACCGGGACCGCTCCTCCTGGGACTGCTGCAGCTCCGTGCGCAGAGAGCTGGGAGGCACCGGGGGGGGGGCGCCGTTTACCGGAGGGGGGGGGGGTCTCTGGTATCGGAGGGGGGGTCCCCGGGTATCGGAGGGGGAAGGGGAGGGGTCTTCCGTACCCTGAGGGGGGGTTCCCAGTACCAGACGGGGAAGGGGGAGAGTCCCCGGTTACCGGAGGGGGGTCCCCGGGCACTGGAGGGGGAAGGGGACGGGTCCCCGGTTACCGGGGGTTCCCCTGTTACTGGAGGGGGGGTTCTCCGGGTACTGGAGGGGGAAGGGGAGGGGTCCCCGGTTACCCGAGGGGAGTTCCCGGTTAACAGAGGGGAAAGGGGGAGGGTCTCCGGTTACCGGGGGGGGTCCCCGCTACCGGAGGGGATAGGGGGAGGGTCACCAGTTACCCGAGGGAGGTCCCCGATACTAGGGGGGAAAGGGACAGGTCCTCTATTACCGGAGGGGGGGTGTCTCCGATACCTTACAGTGGTCCCCGGGTACCGGAGGGGGAAGTGGAGGGTGCTGCCGTACCCAGAGGGGGGTTCCCGGTACCGGAGGGGGAAGGGGACGGGTCCTCTGTTACCGGGGGGGAGTTCCCGGTTACCGGAGGGGGGTCCCCGGTACTGGGGGGAAAGGGGACAGGTCCTCCGTTACCGGAGGGGGGGGTCCCCGATACCGGAGGAGGAAGGAAACGGGTCCCCCGTTATTGGAGGGGGGTCCCTAGGTACCAGAGGGGTCAGGGGAGGGGTCCCCGGTTACCGGGAGGGTGCAAACCGGTAGCGGGGGGGGGGGGGGTGTTACCGGGGCTCTCACCTCACTTGTCTGCCTAGCTCCTCCTCCCGGGCCCGGCTGTGCTGCAGCTGCTCCCGGAGCTGCCGGTTGTCATCCTCCAGGCCCCTTATCTTCTCCCGCAGCTCCGCCAGCTGCCCCCTCGGGTCCCCCGCCGCCCGCCGCCGCACCCCCGGTACCGGAGGCGGCGCTGCCGATCCCGAAGCCGCCCCCGGGGCCTTTTTCCCGGCCTGGGGGGGGGCACGGGGGGGTCACCGCGACCGAACGGTGGAACCGGGACCCCCCCGGTACAACCGGGACCCCCCCGGTGCCGCCCTACCTGGGCCTGGTGCCGTCGGGACGCTGATAGCCCGCAACGGGGCGCGGCTGCTGGGAGCCCAGCCCGCTCGGGGCCCGGAGCGGCGCCGTTTCTACGGGAGAACGGGAGGGTGAGACCGGAACCGGCACCGGGAGCGGGGCCCAACCTGTTCGGGAGCCTCCTGCTCAGGCGCGGCCGCCGCGCGCCTGGCGCGGGCCTTGCGCCCCGATGACCCGGAGGTCGGCCGGGAAGTGACGCAGCCGCCGCCGTGGCCGGTACCGGGCGGGCGCCAGCGCCGCCGCCGCCGGGCCTCGCCGCCATTGCGGCGCGCACACTCAAACCGCGCCCGCCCCGCGCTCCCATTGGGCGCCGCCTCCGCCAATCGCCGCGCGCCGCCCCGGGGCGCCGGCCAATAGGAAGGCGCGCGGGGGGTCACGTGGCCGCGCAGCCGCGGCCGAGCCCGCCGGGAGGAGGGGGGAGGCAACAAAAAATGGGAGCCCCCCCAAAATGGGAGCCGCCCCCCTTTAAAATGGACCCCCCCAAAAAATCGCAGCCCTTCCAAAAAGTGTGGCGACCACCCCCCAAAAAAATTGGACCCCCCAAAAAAAAAATTGGACCCCCCCAAAGAAATTGGACCCCCCACAGAAAGAAATCGGACCCCCCCAAAGAAGTTGCCCCCCCCAAAAAAAAATTGGACCCCCCCAATAAAAAATTGGACATCCCCCCAAAAGTATCTTACCTCTCCCCCAAAAATTGGACCTCCCCCAAAGAAATTGGACACCCCCAAAAAGAAATTGGACCCCCCCCAAAGAAGTTAGACCCCCCCAAAAAAAAAATTGGACCCCCCCTAAAAAATTGGACCCCCCAAATAAAATTTGGACCCCCCCCCCAATTGGTAGTGCTTCCCCCAAACTGCGTGACCCCCCCCTCCCCAAACTCTATCCCCCCCCTCCCGGTTTAGGACTCGCCCCCCTTACCCTACCCCAAATGCCCCCCCCCCCCACCTGGAAGCCCCCCAATCTGCCCACCCCAATACCCTACCTGCCCCCCCCCCCCATTCCAGGACCCCCCAAAACGCCCCCCCCCATACCAAAATCGAGCGTAAACACGACAATTAAGTGTTAGTGGTATAATAACAGCACGGGGTCTGTCCCCAGCCCCGGCAGCACGGTGGGCAGGGGGGGAGCGCTGCCCCCCCGGGTGCAGCCCGGGGCTGGGGGCTGCGAGAAGGGGCCCCAGCTGCTTCGAGCCATCGCGGGGGGGAAACAAAATGTCAGCAAGAAACAGTCTTAAAAATTAAATGCAAACTTAAAATTTAACTTAAAACTTAAAATTAATGCAAACTGACGGTCGGTCCTCGACAGTCTTTTTGGCACCCAACGCTGGGGCTTGAACCCACGACCCTGAGATTAAGAGTCTCATGCTCTACCGACGGAGCTAGCCGGCCAAATGCCTCAACATTTTTATTTTACCTGTACAAAGCCCAAAAAGACTGTTGTGGTTTAACCTGGACGGCAGCTAAACACCACGCAGCCGTTCGCTCACCCTCCCCCTCCCTCTCTGCGACGGGGGAGAGAAATGGAAAGTGAAGCCCGTGAGTTGACATAAAGACAGTTTAATAAGACAGGAAAATAATAATTATAACAATAATTATAATAGCAATAATAACAAAAATAATAATAACAAAAATAATAACAACAATAACAATAACAATAATAATAATACAATGATGACAATAGTACTACCACGAATAATATGTACAAACAAGTGATGCACAATGCAATTGCTCACCACTCGCTGACCGATGCCCAGCCTCACCCCGAGCAGTCTGGCCCCCTCCCCCAGCTAGCCACCCCTATCTATTGTTTAGCATGACCCCAGATGGTATGGAATACCCCTTGGGCTACTTTGGGTCACCTGCCCTGGCTCTGTCCCTTCACAGCTCTTGCCCGTTGGCAGGACAGAGCAAGAAGCGGAGACGTCCTTGGCTTGGTGTAAGCACTGCTCTGCAACAATTCAGACATCGGGGGGTTATCAGCACTCTGCTCATGCTAAGCCAACACACAGCATTCCACCAGCTCCTAGGAAGAAAATTAATTCTGTTCTAACTGAAACCAGGACAACCCCATATTCCATAAACCCCCCAAAATCATCCCCGTATCCCAGATCTGCCCTTTATCCCCACTAAATCCCCCAACTCACACCCCCATATCCCAAACCCACCCCCTAATCCCCCCAAATCACGCCCCATATCCCAAACCTGCCTTATAACCCCCCCCAAACCCCCATAAATCACACCCCCTATATTCCAAACCAATCTCATAACCCCAAAATCACCCTCCATCATATCCCAAATCTGTCCCCCGTATCCCAAACCTGCCCTATAACCCCCAACCCCCCCCACCCCCCCATCCCAAATCCACCCCATAACCCCCAAAAACCTGCCCCATAAACCTCCAAACCTGCCCCCCGTATGCCATAGCCCCCCCAAATCACCCCCAGTATCCCAAATCTGCCCTTTATCCCCACTAAAATCCCCAACTCACGTCCCATGTATTTGGGATACCCTGTATCCCAAACTCACCATATAACCCCCAAAACCTGCACCCCATATCCCATAACCCTACCAAATCACCCCCTGTGCCCCAAATTTGCCCTATAATGCCCCAAACCAACCCCCCACATCCCAAACTCACCCCAAACCTGCCCACCTGTGCCCCCTGAACCCATCCCCACGTTCCCCCCCCCGAGCACCCCCAACACATCCTACATCTCCCCCAACCTCTGCCCGCAGATTTCCCACGCCACCCCAAATCACCACATCCCAAAGATCCCCAAATCCACCCCAAACTCCCCCCATACCATAATATTCACCCCCCCCAAATTCTTCCCCCAAAACCACCCCAAACCCTCCTCCCCAACCTCAACCCTCCTCCCCAAGCCCTCCCCATTCCCTCCCTCCAAAACCATCCCCGAAAACCCCCCCAAAACCCTTTCCCATCCCCACCCTGATCCAAACCCTCCCCCAACCCCCCCAAAACCCCATTATTTCCCCCAAACCTTGCTGGCAAAGCGCAGGGAGCTGAGCGACTCGGCCAAGTTCTCCTCCAGCGGCGAGATGTTGACGAACATGAGCCTGGGTGGGGGCGATCCACGGCATAGCGGGGTGTCCGAGCGGGGTGCACCCTACACCCTCGACCCTAAAACCACCCCGTGACCCTAAAAAAAAACCCCGCTCACATTTTGGCGTTGCCCCTCAGCGAGTTTTGCAGCAGGTAGGTCAGCTTGCTGTTGTGGTATGGCATGTGCGACTCCTACGGGGACAAATCCCGTTATAGAATGGGGAGGAAAGCGACAACATTTTGGGGTCGTGGCCCCAAAATCGCTCTTTTTTCCCCCCAAAATCAGCACCTTGTTGGAGATGGCCTTGATGAGCAGCCCCAGCGTGGCCAGGCTGCTGTTGATGGCTTGGGTCTCGCGCAGCCGCTGCCCGCTGGCTAGGCATTTATCCTGACGTGGCGGATCTCCAGCTCGCCCCCCCTGTCCCCCCCCAGCAGGTCCCACAGCGCCTCGTTGTAGATCTCCAGAAAGCTGGCGCTGAAACTGTACTTTGGGGGGGTCAGGGGGGCGCAAAATCCCCCCAAAAAGGGGCCCCGAGTGCCTAAAGAACCACCAAAAGCCTCCAAACCCTATAAAGAACCCCAAAGAGCCCCCAAAAGAGCAGACCCAAAGTCCCCAAAGCTAAAGAAATTCCCCCCAAAACCCACCCTAAACCCCCCCAAAAGCCCTACTTCCCCTCAAAAAGCCCCCCAAAGCCATAACACCCCAAAAAAGCCCCCCCAAAAGCCCCCCAAATCCCTAACACCCTCCAAAAAGCCCCAAAAAAGCCTCCAGAAAGCCCTAACCCCCCCCAAAATAAAAACAAGAAGCCCTAAACCCCCCAAACACCTTAAACCCCCAAACGTCCCAGAAGGCTCAAAACCCCCTCAAAAAAGCCCCTAAAAGACCTAATACCCCTAAAAAAAGCTCCCCAAAGCCCTAAATTAGCCCCCAAAAGCCCTAATCCCCCCAAAAAAAAGCCCCCCAAAAGACCCCAAAGCCCTAACCCCCCAAAAAAAGCCCCCAAAATATCTAAATTAGCCTCCAGAAAGCCCTAATCCCCCTAAAAGCCCCCCAAAAGCCCTAACCCCCACTGAAAATTACCCCAAGAAGACCTAAACATCCCCCAAACACCTTAAACCCCCAAAAGGCTCAAAACCCCATCCAAAAATGCCCCTAAAACACCTAATCCCCCCATAAAAAAGCTCTCAAAAGCCGTAATCCCCCAAAAAAGCCCTAACCCCCCCCAAAAAGCCTCCCCCAAAACCCCCCAAAAAGCCCTAACCGCCCACAAAAAAGTCCCCCAGAAGCCCTAAGGCACCCCCAAAAGCGCTAACATACCCAAAGAAGCCTCCAAAAGCCCTAAACGCCCCCCAAAGAAGCCCTAAAAGCTCTAAACGCCCCCCAAAGAAGCTCCTGAAAGTCCTAACTCCCCCCCCAAAAGCCCCAAAAGCCCCCAAAAGCCCTAAACCCCCCCAAAAAAGCCCCCAACCCCCCCCAAAACTCGGTGCCTCACCTGCCACCCTTTGTGCTCCAGCTGGCGGGCGCCCCCGAAGAGGTGCCGCACGGCGCGGGGGATCACCCCCCAACTTGTGGGGTCGGCGCCCCCCGGCCCCTCCATGGTGTAGGTTTTGCCGCTGCCCGTCTGCCCGTAGGCGAAGATGCAGACGGGGTACCCGTCCAGGGCCGACTGGGGGAGGGACGGGGGGGGTTTATAGGGCAAATGGGGGAAAAAGGGGTCTTTTGGGGGAAAATAGGGGTCTTTGGGGGGAGTTCAGAGGTAAACAGGGGTGAAATAGGGGTCTTTGGGGGGAAATGGTGGGGAAATAGGGGTCTGTGGGGGGAGTTCAGGGGCAAATGGGGGCATTTAGGGTGGAAACTGGGGGGAACTGGGGCAAAATAGGAATCTTTGGGGGGAAATGGGGGGGAAATAGGGGTCTTTGGAGGGAGTTCAGGGGCAAATGGGGTCTTGTGGGGGGGGGGAAACTGGGGGGAAATAGGGATCTTTGGGAGGGAAATAGGGTGGAAACTGGGGGAAATGGGGGCACTTATGGGGTAAACGGGGGCAAAATAGGGATCTTTGCGGGGAAATGGGGGCATTTGGGGTGGAAACTTGGGGGGAATGGGGGCACTTATGGGGGAAACGGGGAGAAACAGGGGGGAAATAGGGGTCTTTGGGGTGATAGGGGGGGGGCAAACGTGGGCATTTGGGGTGAACGAGGGCATTGCTACTCTACCTGGATCCCTACAAGTCCATGGGTCTGGATGGGATTCATCCCCGGGTGCTGAAAGAGCTGGCGCACGTCATCGCGGAACCTCTCTCAATTATTTTTCAACGATCCTGGGAATCTGGAGAGGTCCCGGTAGACTGGAAGCTGGCAAATGTTGTGCCGATTTTCAAGAAGGGTCAGAAAGAAGACCCTAGCAATTACAGGCCTGTCAGTCTCACCTCAGTGCCTGGTAAAATCATGGAGAAGATGGTTCTCGAATTTACTGAGGCGCACCTGGGGGACAAAGCAGTCATTGGTCCCAGCCAGCATGGGTTTGTGAAGGGTAGGTCCTGCCTAACTAACCTGATTTCCTTTTATGATAAGATCACCCGTATGGTGGACCAAGGGAAACCAGCTGATGTGATTTTTTTGGACTTCAGCAAGGCTTTTGACATGGTTTCCCATAGGATCCTACTGGACAAAATGTCCACCATACAGCTAAATAAAAACATCATACGATGGGTGAGCAATTGGCTAACGGGCAGGGCCCAAAGGGTTATGGTGAATGGGGCTGCGTCAGGCTGGCGGGCGGTCACCAGTGGGGTCCCTCAAGGCTCCATTTTAGGACCGGTACTTTTCAATATTTTTATAAACGATCTGGATGTAGGAATAGAAGGCATTTTGAGCAAGTATGCTGATGACACCAAACTTGGAGGAGTTGTGGACTTGAATGAGGGTGGAAAGGCCTTGCAGAGGGATCTGGATAGGTTGGAGAGCTGGGCGATCGCCAACTGCATGAAGTTCAATAAGAGCAAGTGCCGGGTCCTGCACCTGGGACGGGGAAACCCTGGCTGCACGTACAGACTGGGCGATGAGACGCTGGAGAGCAGCCTAGAAGAGAGGGATCTGGGGGTCGTGGTAGACAGCAAGTTGAATATGAGCCGGCAGTGTGCCCTGGCAGCCAGGAGGGCCAACCGTGTCCTGGGGTGCATCAAGCACGGCATCGCTAGCAGGTCGAGGGAGGTGATTGTCCCGCTCTACTCTGCGCTGGTGCGGCCTCACCTCGAGTACTGTGTGCAGTTCTGGGCACCACAGTATAAAAAGGACATGAAACTGTTGGAGAGTGTCCAGAGGAGGGCTACGAAGATGGTGAAAGGCCTGGAGGGGAAGACGTACGAGGAACGGCTGAGGGCACTGGGCCTGTTCAGCCTGGAGAAGAGGAGGCTGAGGGGAGACCTCATCGCAGTCTACAACTTCCTCGTAAGGGGGTGTTGAGAGGCAGGAGACCTTTTCTCCATTAACACCAGTGACAGGACCCGCGGGAACGGGGTTAAGCTGAGGCAGGGGAAATTTAGGCTTGACATCAGGAGGGGGTTCTTCACAGAGAGGGTGGTTGCACACTGGAACAGGCTCCCCAGGGAAGTGGTCACTGCACCGAGCCTGTCTGAATTTAAGAAGAGATTGGACTGTGAACTTAGTCACATGGTCTGAACTTTTGGGTAGACCTGTGCGGTGTCAAGAGTTGGACTTGATGATCCTTAAGGGTCCCTTCCAACTCTGGATATTCTATGATTCTATGATTCTATGATTTGGGGGGGGTAATGGGGCACTTTGGGTGCCTTTGGGGTGGAAACTGGGCCAAACAGGGGCACTTTTGAGGAGAATGGAAAGAAACAGGAGCATTTCTGGGGGAAATGGGGGAAATAGGGGTTTTGGGGGCAAAATAGGGGTCTTTGGCTGAGGTCAACTGCATGAAGTTCAACAAGGCCAAGTGCCGGGTCCTCCACCTGGGGCGCAATAACCCCAAGCAGAGCTACAGGCTGGGAGATGAGTGGTTGGAGAGCTGCCAGGCAGAGAAGGACCTGGGAGTGATGGTGGACAGTCGGCTGAATATGAGCCAGCAGTGTGCTCAGGTGGCCAAGAAGGCCAACGGCATCCTGGCTTGTATCAGAAACACTGTGACCAGCAGGGCTAGGGAGGTGATCGTCCCCCTGGGCTCGGCTCTGGTGAGGCCGCACCTCGAGTACTGTGTTCAGTTTTGGGCCCCTCGCTACAAGAAGGACATCAAGGTGCTTGAGCGGGTCCAGTGAAGGGCGATGAAGCTGGTGAGGGGCCTGGAGAACAAGTCCTACGAGGAGTGGCTGAGGGAGCTGGGCTTGTTCAGCCTGGAGAAGAGGAGGCTCAGGGGCGACCTTATCACTCTCTACAGATACCTCAAAGGAGGCTGTAGCGAGGTGGCGGATGGCCTGTTCTCCCACGTGCCTGGTGACAGGACGAGGGGGAATGGGCTAAAGTTGCGCCAGGGGAGTTTTAGGTTAGATGTTAGGAAGAACTTCTTTACTGAAAGGGTTGTTAGACACTAGAACAGGCTGCCCAGGGAGGTGGTGGAGTCACCATCCCTGGAAGTCTTTAAAAGACGTTTAGATGTAGAGCTTAGGGATATGGTTTAGTGGGGACTGTTAGCGTTAGGTCAGAGGTTGGACTCGATGATCTTGAGGTCTCTTCCAACCTAGAAATTCTGTGATTCTGTGATTCTGTGATTTGGGGTGGAACCTGGGAGGAAATAGGGCTCCTTGGGGGTGGGAAATAGGGTGGAAACTGGGGGGAATGGGGGCACTTGTGGGGAAAATGGGAGGGAAATAGGGGTCTTTGGGGGGAAATGAGGGGGAAATGGGGGCATTTGGGGTGGAAACTGGGGCATTTATGGGGGAAACGGGGGGAAATAGGGGGTCTTTGGGGGGAGTTCAGGGGCAAATGGGGGCATTTGGGGTGAACGAGGGTATTTGCGGGGAGAATGGGGGCAAACAGGGGCACTTATGGGGGGAATGGGCAGATACAGGGGCATTTCTGGGGGAAATGGGGGGGCTTTGGGGTCAGTTCAGGGGCATCCGGGGGGAAACTGGCAGAAAGAGGCAGTTATGGGGGAAATGGGAGCACTTAGGGGGGGAAGAGGGGGCATTGAGGTCAGTTGAGGGAGAAATGGGGGGACTTTGGGGGGAGTTCAGGGGCAAACAGGGGGCTTTGGGGTGGAAACCGGGGGAAATAGGGGCACTTTGGGGTGGAAACTGGGGGGCCTTTGGGGTCTCTTGGGTCAAACGGGGGCGCTTTGTGGGGAAATGGGACATGTCTGGGGGAAATAAAGGAAGACAGGGGGGTCTGAGGGGGGGGAAATGGGTGGTAACTGGGACCTTGGTGGAGAAAGAGGGGGATTTATGGGGGAAATGGGGGCAATTTGGGGGGAAATGGGGAAAAAGGGCCCTTGGGGGACAGTTTGGGGAGGGTTGGGGGGGTAAACGGGGGTTTTATGGGGGAAAAAAGGTAGAAATGGGGACCCTGGGGAGCACTTGGTGGGGTTTGGTTGGTGATGGAGGCACTTTGGGGTGAAACACGGGGGAAACGGGCAATTTTAGGGAAAAGGGGGTTCCTTTATGGGGGGGCACCTGCACGAGCAGCGCGATCTCCTCAAAGACGTCCTCCTGCGAGGCTGCCGGGCGGGAAGACGCGGTCGAAGCTGAAGTCGTAGCGCCCCTCGCCCCGCCGCCCCGTATGGGACTGGGGGGGGAAATTAGGGTCGGGGGGGGAAATAGGGTCGGGGGGGACGTGTCAGGATTTGGGGGGGTCACCACGAGCCCTATTCCCAGCCCGATGTGCAATAAGGGGAGATATCGGGCTTATAGGGCTGCCTGCCCCAGTTATAGGGACGCCCGCCGCCGTTATAGGGCCGCCCGCTTATAGGGCCGTGGAGGATTTGGGAGCGGGAGCAGCAGGGGATGCCCCCCCCCAGCCCTGATTTGGGGTCGGGGCACCCCAAATTTGCGCTCACCCCCTCGGTCCTGCAGAGCACCAGCGTCTTGTTGTCCTCAGGGGGGAAGTGGAGGTGCTCCAGCCCCTTCTGCGCCTCCTGCTCGGCCGCCAGCAGCGGGCGCACACAGCAGAAGACGCGGATGTTCCCCTGGGGAGGGGGAAAAAAAAAGGGAAAAAAAGGTATTTTGTAGAATATCGAGGACTTGAAGAGGACTGGCCCTAAAACGGAGCTTTGGGGGATCCCAATGGTGACCTGACGTGGCCCCAATTGCCACAGCCCTGAGCCCTGCCCGACTGCCACTTGTCAGACAGATTCTGTATTTTTCTGTATTTTTCTGTAAAGTATGGATATATAAGAAAAACTTTCAGAGTTAAATATTTATATTCTTATATACTCTTACAATTTTGAACAAAAAACCAGAAACGAACCATGACCATTCTGTTGTTTATAGATTTGGGGCAAAACCTAAAAGAAACTATGTATGTTTTTAATTTTGAGCAAGAAAAACTAAGCAATTTATATATTTTTTTTTAATTTGAGGGAAAAGCAAGTGGTTTTTTTTTTTTTAACTGAGCAAAAAAATGATTTGTTTTTGTATTTTTAAAAATTTGGGGCAAAAACATATGTATTTGTTAAACTCTGAGCAAAAAAGCTCAAAAAATGAAATGAGTTATTCTATTTTAAATTTTGAGAAATAAAAGAAGTGTTCTTTTGACTTTTTAAAATTTCAGTAAAAATCAAAAAAAGAGAGATGATTTTTTATTTCAATTTTGAGCAAACTAAAAAAAGGTTTTGTTTTTCAATTTTGAGAAAAAAGAATAAATGATATTTTTTAACTTTGAGGAAAAAACAGGAATGTTATTTTAAGAAAAGTTTGAGCAAAAAAAAAAAAAAACATTTTTTTTTAATTTTGACAAAAACAAAACATGAAATACTAATGTTATTATTATTACTATTATTTATTATTTTTATTATTTTTTACATCTTGGGGTGAAAAATCCCCCGAAGTGAATCCTGGTTTTTAAATTATTATTGATATTTTCAGTGTCAGCCCCCCTGGTGCACCTTGAGCTCCTGCAGCTGGTTGTGCAGGCGGCGTCGCTCCATCTCCAGCGCGTGCAAATGCTCCTCCTGCGCCCCCGCCAGCGCCCGCAGCTCCGCCTGGGGGGGAAAGGCCCGACCCCGTTGGCCAAGAGGCGCCCAACGCCGTCGGCCAAGACGGGGGCGCCCAGAATTGGATGTAAAAATTCAAAACTTTAGGGAAAAAACGCACAGAACTTGGGTACCCCGTCCGCGAAGAGCTTGTAGAAAAAGCACCAAGAATTTGGGGAAATAACCTATAAAATCTTCGGGAAGAGCCCCCCAAAAAACATGGGGAAAAACCATCCAGAATACAGGGGGAGGGGAAACCCACCAAGATTTGGTTGGGAAACACACAGAATTGGTGGAAACTCCCCCAAAGTTTGCGGGAAAAGCCAAGCAGAATTCGGGGAAGAGCCCCCAAAATCTGGAGGAAATGCCCCAATATCAGGAAGGGTTGGGGGGGAAGACCCCAATAATCAGGGGAGCCTAAGATAATAATTTAGGGGGGTACGGGGAATAATTTGGGAGAAGACAACTGGGGAAAAATCCGGCAAAACACCCCGAAATCGGGTAAAAAGCCCCCCGAAGCATCTCCAGCTGCGCTCCTCGCAGCCCATTTTGGGGCAGAATCCTGCGTTTTGCTGGTTTTGCCCCGTGGGGGGGGGGGGGGGAAATCAGCCTCGTACCCACCTGGGCGGCCCCCAGCTGCTCGTCCCGGTCCCGCGCCGACTCCCAGAGCTCCTGCAGCTCCTGGTGCCACTGCTGGAGCTCAGCCTCCAGCTGCTGCCGCTCGGCCGCCTGCGCCTCCCGCTGCCACCGGGACCGCTCCTCCTGGCACTGCTGCAGCTCCGTGCGCAGAGAGCTGGGAGGCACCAGGGGGGTGCCGTTACCGGAGGGGGGGGTCTCCGGTACCGGACAGGGGTCCCCGGGTACCGGAGGGGGAAGGGGAGGGGTCTTCCGTACCCAGAGGGGGGTTCCCGGTACCGGAGGGGGAAGGAAGAGGGTCACTGGTTACCGGAGGGGGGTCTCTGGGTACCAGAGGGGTCAGGGGAGGGGTCCCCGGTTACCGGGAGGGTGCAAACCGGTAGCGGGGGGGGGGGGGGTGTTACCGGGGCTCTCACCTCACTTGTCCCTCCAGCTCCTCCTCCCGGGCCCGGCTGTGCTGCAGCTGCTCCCGGAGCTGCCGGTTGTCATCCTCCAGGCCCCTTATCTTCTCCCGCAGCTCCGCCAGCTGCCCCCTCGGGTCCCCGCCGCCCGCCGCCGCACCCCCGGTACCGGAGGCGGCGCTGCCGATCCCGAAGCCGCCCCCGGGGCCTTTTTCCCGGCCTGGGGGGCTGCGGCGACGGTCATGGCCTTGCGCAGAAGCCCTGGGGGGGGGCACGGGGGGGTCACCGCGACCGAACGGTGGAACCGGGACCCCCCCGGTACAACCGGGACCCCCCCGGTGCCGCCCTACCTGGGCCTGGTGCCGTCGGGACGCTGATAGCCCGCAACGGGGCGCGGCTGCTGGGAGCCCAGCCCGCTCGGGGCCCGGAGCGGCGCCGTTTCTACGGGAGAACGGGAGGGTGAGACCGGAACCGGCACCGGGAGCGGGGCCCAACCTGTTCGGGAGCCTCCGGCTCAGGCGCGGCCGCCGCGCGCCTGGCGCGGGCCTTGCGCCCCGATGACCCGGAGGTCGGCCGGAAGTGACGCAGCCGCCGCCGTGGCCGGTACCGGGCGGGCGCCAGCGCCGCCGCCGCCGGGCCTCGCCGCCATTGCGGCGCGCACACTCAAACCGCGCCCGCCCCGCGCTCCCATTGGGCGCCGCCTCCGCCAATCGCCGCGCGCCGCCCCGGGGCGCCGGCCAATAGGAAGGCGCGAGGGGGGTCACGTGGCCGCGCCCGCCGGGTATCGGCCGGCAGGGAGGGAGGGGGGAGGCGGGGCTTTAGAAGTAGAGGGCGGGGCTTCGGCGGTGGGGTTTGGGGTTTGGGGTTTGGGGTTTGGGGTTTGGGGTTTGGGGTTTGGGGTTTGGGGTTTGGGGGTTTGGGGTTTGGGGTCGGCTCCACGGCGGCAGTGGCGGCGGGAGGGGGGGCGTGCGGGAGCAGGGACGGGTCCCGGTTGGGGGGAGGGGCGGCCCGCTGCCGCCGTCCCTCCGCGCCCCCCCTCGGGCACCCCCCCGCCGCCGCCGCTGCTGTATCACGGTCCTGCGCTGCGGCCGCCGGCCCGGACCCCCCCCGGGCCCCACCCCCCCAAAATTGGACCCCCCCCAAAAAAAATTGGACCCACCCCAAAAAGAAATTGGACCCCCCCCTTAAAAAATTGTACCCCCTAAAAAGAAATTGGACCCCCCTCATAAAAAATTGGACACCCCCCCATAAGAATCTGACTTCCCCCCAAAAATTTGGACCCCCCCCAATCGGTAGTGCCCCCCCCCTCCAAACTCTGTCTCCCCCCCCCCCGGTTTAGGACTCGCCCACCTTACCCTACCCCAAATGCCCCCCCCCCCAGCTGGGACCCCCCCCAATCTGCCCCCCCCGAATACCCTACCTGCCCCCCCCCCCCCGTTCCAGGACCCCCCAAAACGCCCCCCCATAACCTACAGGAGCCCCCCCATCTGTGCCCCCCCCATATGTTTCATGACCCCCCCCCTCATATTTTGGGACCCCAAAATGCCCCCCCACCCCCCATATGTTGCAGGAAGCACGGGCGAAAGCACGACAGACACCAGCAGAGTCAGATCGTGCTGCTCCCTTTTATTGCCCGAATAGCACAACTTTTATAGTGAACTTTACAGGGGCGGACAATGTTTCACACAAGATTATTTGTCAAAAGCACTCAGACAAACAACTAGAAGAAAACAACCCCACCTGCAAGAAAAGAACCCCCCTTTTGATTAGCAGTCAGGAAAACAACCCCCTTTGTGATTAACGGTCACGTAGACCTTGTCCTTGAGGCCAGCTGCTGGTAACAGTATTTTCTGAGTTTGGCGCTGTGGGAACACTGTCATGGGAACTTCTCATAGTTGCCCTGGTAGCTTGGTTTGCTCAGCTACAGCAAGCCATGGGATTTTTGCTGTTTCAAGAAATCCCTCAACACACATGCAACTAGGCAAAGAAAGTAAGGCTGAAAGCAGGATTGCTACCTTGGACTTTCGAAGAGCCAACTTTGACCTCTTCCGGGACCTGCTTGGGAGTATCTCATAGGATAGGCTGCTCGAAAGCAAGGGTGCTTGTGAGAGCTGGGCTACATTTAAGCAGCACTTCTTCCATGCTCAGGATCGGTGCATCCCAAGGAACAGGAAATCGGGGAAGGGGGGCAGGAAACCTGTGTGGATGAGCAAGGAGCTCATCAATAAGATCAAATGGAAGAGGATGGTCTGTGAAATGTGGAAAAAGGGCCTGTCCTCTTGGGAGGAGTATAGATGTGTTGTCAGGGCCTGCAGGGATGCGACCAGGAAGGCTAAAGCCCACCTAGAGATGAGGCTTGCGAAAGAGATAAAGGATAATAAGAAGGGTTTTTCAAGTATGTAAACGGCAAGAGGAAGACTAGGGATAATGTGGGTCCCTTGCTGAATGAGGGGGGTTTCCTGGTCAAGGGAGACGTTGAGAAGGCAGAGATACTGAATGCTTTCTTTGCGTCAGTCTTTGCTTCAAGGACACTCCCCCGGGACTCCTCGCCCCTGGCAATAGGACAAAGGGTCTGGGAAATGGAGGGCTCCCCCCTGGTGGACGTGGGAGTGGTTCGGGAGCGTCTGTGTGGGCTCAACACACACAAATCCCTGGGTCCCGATGGGATGCATCTGCGTGTGCTAAGGGAGCTGGCAGATGTGATCGCCGAACCGCTCTCTATCATCTTTGAAAGGTCCTGGAGAATGGGTGAGGTGCCTGAAGACTGGAGGATAGCCAAAGTCACTCAGAAGTGACCTCGTAGGCCCTTTCTGTGACATGTTGCTGCTGTTGCCCTATCAACTGCAGAGGCAGAAGTGACCTCACAGTCCCTGCCACAGTCACATTCCTCCTGCTGGGGCAGGAGATCCTGAGGCAGAGTTGAGGTCATCAGAGCATTTCCTCTCATCTCCTCCTTGTCGCCTACAAGCAGATCAAATCCATGGCCCCTCACATTCATCTTTGAATGCCGTGTGACTGCATGGAGTGGGTTTACGTGGCATGGTTTTGGTAGTGGGGGGCCATAGAGGTGGCTTTGGTGAGAAGAATCCAGAAGCTGCCCCACGTTAGATAAGGGCCCCACTGCTGGCCAGAACTGGGCCAATAA